ACCAAGAGGTTGGCAGTATGTATCAGTTTCGATCGCTGACGCAACAACTTGGCATTGAATAATTTGAAAAACTTGTTCCCGTATTTATTTAGCCATACCCAGCCATATACAGGTCTGGTCGAACTAAACGTGGAGGTAGTAAAAATGTATGCGCCCACTTGAAGAATACGCGCGCGGGTAAACGGCGTACAATACAGCTGCACTGGGCGACTGGGCAATAAATCTCAGTTGTTGACAAATTGCCTAGCAGTGCAGTGCAGCAATGCGGAACTTGGTGTGATTCAGGTAATTTTAATTCATTATAAGCACCTTCTAATTAATCATTAATATTACAACTGTGAAAGGGAGAAATAAGGACATTTTGTTTAATAATATTATTACAACATGGAGACCTTTTGAAACGGAACAAAACGAAATTTACCATCAATATAATAAAATTGTTTGAGGACATAAATAACTGAAATATGTTGTAGGCCAAATGAACATAATAGAAATTTCCTACCCATTATATACAAATTATTACAATTTTTTATCTTTAGCAGAAAACTTTTTTAGGGACGCCTATGAAACTCATTAAATTTTATTGATAGGTGTTTTTATACATGTTCAACTGACTTCGGAAAGACTATACCGATCAGATTTTAATATGCCAAAGGTAAGTAATGATAGAAACCAAAGTAATAATGGTCAGTAGTTTTGTCCAGTGTCCGCAGTATAAGTACCATATGTTTCAAAAAAAAGTTCAAAATCAAAGATTATAAAATAAAAATTGAAGTAAGTTAACTAAAACTATTTGCTTTTAAGCACAACAATAATTTATTTGTCCAAACATCCCGTCTATCCTTACTGGTATCGCCAACATTTCATTGTGATTCATTTTTTGTTGTATTTATTGTTTCCAAAAATTTCCCTCTCTCAACAAATTGCTGATCAACAGCAATTGAGGTGTTAAAACTGTTGTCGTCAGATGATAAAAATGTGATTGTTAGTTATCGTGTCTTTTTATATACAGGGTGGGCCATTAGTGTGAAAAAGTAATATGACTCCCTTGTTATTCGTAATACAGAAAAAAAGTTTATAAGTTGTACAGAATCAAAAAACCTAAAGAACAAAATTAATTTGAAACACACAGGGCGATGAGTAAGAACCAGACACGCCAAATATTACATTTTTTAAATGGAAAATTCTATATATGGCAATATAAATAGTTTATCGTTTTACTGCGGGGTTGCCAAGTTATGTAGAAAATTCGAAGAATTTTGAAAAAAACATGACCCCGAAGAAGTTGTATGAACTTTCAGCTACTAACAATTGGGACAAAATAATTAGACAGAGTTATAGGCAAATATTAGACAAAGGCTCCTATGTTAGCTAATATTGATATTTTATACAGGGCATGTTTTAAAATACGATAATTTTTAGAAAGTTTAAACTTGATTTTCTAAAATTTTTCAAATGGAACGCCCTGCATTTTATTGTTCTATTTTATTCACATATCGGTCCACTTCAACTTTTATTAAGCATGTTCTATATCTAAAATTGTTAGTTTTTAAGATATAGCAACATTCCTGAAAAAACTTATAGAATGCCAAAAATAAATATTAATTAATAAAATTAACTCAAAATGGAATGCTAAATTATGAACTGACAAGTTGACACAATGCGACAGTTTTTTCCAAAGCCATTTCGTGCGACCGAAAATAATAAAAATTAGGTTTTTCCAGAAATGTTGCTATATCTTAAACACTAACAACTTTAGGAGTAGAACAGACTTAATAAAAGTTGAAGTGGGGTAATCAAATAGAACAATAAAATATAGGGTGTTCCATTTGAAAAATTTTATAGTCTGTTTGGAAATGAAAGAGAGTAATAAAACCCCGAGATAAGAACCGGCCATGGGCGTGCTAATATTTTGTTTCAGGTAATTATCGGGTAACACTAATGCTAACAGGTAATGGGTGTACATTAGTATATTTTACTGGATACATCATAGATTTTTTCAAAAATGTCATTCGCAGAAAAGTACACTAATTTTATTTTAAAAAAGAAATACCAACACTAAACAAAATTTTAAGTGAACTTTCAGAGGACAACGATTTGCCAAAAATCAGTAGAAGCAAATTATGGGCCGTCTTACGAGAGTTGAATTTTTGCTGGGAAAAGCAGAACAGGAAGTCAGTTCTTATCGATAAAGATGAAATTATTTGTTGGCGAAGATCCTACTTAAGATCAATTAGAAAATTCCGTGACGAAGGGAGGAATATTTATTATCTAGACGAAACTTGGGTCAACGAGGTATATACTGTAACAAAAGTATGGCAAGATAAAAATATAAAAAGTTTTCGACAAGCATTTTTGGGTGGACTTTCAACAGGGTTCAAAGCACCTTCAGGTAAAGGGCGAAGATTAATAGTGACACATATAGGTAGTGCCAGTGGTTTTGTAGATGGCGGTTTACTTTTATTTGAATCTAAAAATACAGGTGACTATCACGAAGACATGAACGCAGATGTTTTCGAAGAGTATTTTACACAGATGTTGGATCTTATTCCTCCGGGGTCTGTAATTGTCATGGATAATGCCAGTTACCATTCACGGCAGACCGAGCGGACGCCTAGGACTGTTTGGAAGAAAGCCGAAATAATTCAATGGTTATCCGGAAAAAATATTTCTTTTGAAACAAATATGGTGAAAAGGGAACTTTTGACACTTGTCATTCTTTATAAAGATCAGAAAAAATATGTTATCGATGAAATGGCAACAAATCGCCAAATAACGGTACTACGGTTACCACCTTATCACTGTGAACTTAACCCAATCGAATTAGTCTGGGCGCAGGTAAAAGGAGATGTAGAGCGAAATAATACCACGTTTAAATTAAGTGACGTGAAAATTTTGTTAAAAAATTCCTTGGAACGAGTAACTGCAGATAACTGGCAAAGATGTATACATCATGTACAAAAAGAAGAGGAGAAAATGTGGGAACTCGATAATTTAATTGACGTTACTGTAGAACCTATCGTTATCAATCTAGGAGACGAAGATAATTCATCAGAATATTCAGAGGATGAATTTTAATATACCTACTTTTTTATTTTCTTTATTGTACATTTATACAACACTACATTTACTCACCATAATTTGAATTTTCAAAATACATATATTTTTGTGTGGAATAAAAGTCTATTCATTAAATTTAAATAAATATTTTGATAATAATATTGAATAATTTTATTTGAATTACTAAAAACCTTCTTAACCCGGTTATGATGCTTAAAGTAGCCTCATGTTTTGAAATGCTGTTTTTATATTGTTTACTTATAAGAGAAATGGACCGAGAAATTGAAGCGGCATAGACAAAGTTGGATTGTCGGGGATTAAATTTTAGCTACCTGCTACAATTTTGTACAACCCGGTCACACAAAGTTTTTTTAAAAGTACAACTCATCTATACCGATAAAACATAATATAAAAAAATATTGAATATAAGCATCAGTACTATATTTATTTACGATTTGCATACATAATAAGCTTTTATTACTCTCTTTCATTTCTAAACAGACTATAGAAAATCAAATTTAAACTTTCTAAAAATGATCGTATTATAAAAAATGCCCTCTATAAAATACCGATATTAGCTAAAATAGGAGTCTTTGTCTAACATTTGCCTATAACTCTGTCAAATATTTTTGCTCCAAGTGTTAGTAGTTGAAAGTTAATTGCTTCGAGGTCATGTTTTCCAAAATTCGAAGAATTTTCTGCATAACTTGGCAACCCCGCACTAAAATAATACACTGTTTATATTAGCGTATATAAAATTTTCTCGGAAATCCATATGTTTAAAAATATACATGGTGTTCCATTTAAAAAATGTAATATTTTTATATTTTTACTCAATGCCATGTGTATTTCAAATTAATTTTGTACTTTTAAGTTTTTTGATTCTGTACAACTTTTATATAAAAAATTTTTGTATAACGAATAACAAGGGAGTTATTTTACTTTCTCACACTAATGGCCCACCCTGTATATAAAACCTTCAAGTTTTTTTTTAGATGTTATAATTGAACATACGGCACTTAGACCGCAGATACCTGGTCCAACCGATTCTTTTCACGGTGCCACAACATTCGAGCAATTCCGGCAAGATTCCCTATACTCCGCGGTAGAAATTATAGAGAGTGATTCAGACATAATATAAAAACACTATTACCATAATGCGTATAAAATATAAAATGATTTTTATACGGTTCAATATTATTTATCTTTGTGCCGCTCGCTACGCACATCGATAGAATCTATAATCGTCTATAGACTGAGTTACACTGAACGTCGATCTATATTCTATCTCTGTCTTTTGCACTTGGTAGGGAACAGGGAAATGCTTTTTTAGTGGGTGTAAACGGACTTGATTTACCAGTCCTGAGAAACGTCATAGCATAAGCGTAGACGAGGGGTCTAATTCCATGGCTATAATAAATTTATAAATTAAAAAAACACAACTGGGACGTTTTAAAATGCTGTAATAATTAAAATGGATCAAAATGCCGATTACAGCAAACCGTAGAAAATATTAGATGTTATGTTTTATTATGTTTTTTCAATATTTTCTATATCTTGTTGCCCTTTACGCACACACGCCAATGGATTTTCGTTCCCGGCACGCTTCATCCCCCTTACTAGTCCAAAAGCTAGCGATGAGTCACTCTCTATAATTTCGACCGCGGAGTATAGCTTATACTAGCCCCCAACCGAAATCGGCCGTTCAGAAGTCACGCGCCCGCGCCTAACCTATAAAAACGCGCCGACCCGCGCGCCGTCTAGCACTCCACCGCGGCGTACACCTCGTCGGTGTCCCGGAGCGCGTTCAGCATGTAATAGCTGTTGCTTCTGCTGAGGCTGCGCCCCCTGGAGGCGCAACACCACCGCACGGCCGTCTCTTTGGCCCTGGTGTAGCACCCGACCAGCCACACCATCGAAGGGTAGGAGTGTGAGCTCACCTCTCTGTTATCCTGCTCCTGGGGATCGGTGAACTTGACGGAGTGCGTCCTGCTGGCCTCGTGCTCCTGCCAGTCGTCCTCGGAGGTGGCGTCATCTGTGCGGGTCAACGTACCGTTAGAAAGGCCTGGGGTGACGTCACAGCGGTACAAGCGGCCGTCAGAAGCTAACAGGGTGCAACAGAGACAGAAAAACGGTGCTTTACACAGAAACAGAAAAAAGCGGGGAGGTGGGGGGGGGGGGCGTGGGCGGTGTTAGCGGGAGGGGAGGGGGAGAATCACACAAGGTTTTATGGTCGCTGAATCGGACTGTCTTTGAAATATCAGTAGAATTTATTTAATAAACACAGAACTCTAAGTTTATTTAAAGATTGGGTTAATGCAACACACCAGCTACCCAATTCAGCTACCATATCATACAGGGTGTCCCACTTAATACAGATTCTGCCGTAGCGTAAACAAGAGTCGTACTGAATCAATTTCTCAGTATTTTAAAATCATACAGTCAGTCCCATTTCTGTTAGGTGTTACTTAACTTCATTTTTTCAAAAGAAACACATTATCTGCTTTTATATTAAGTCTAAGTAAGTACAATTTTGGTGTCATTCGAAAATGTGATCAGCGAAATGGCATTTTCTTGGTGTTTTTCTACTAAATTTTGTGCGTTCTTTATTATTCGTATGCGTTTTGATGTCGTGTGTTTAATTATCACTGAATAAGATAATATTTTCATAAAAATTATAGCTACTCTTGTAGGTTATGTTAGGTTTTAAGCTAAACGATGTTCAAATATCATTTTCACGCACCATCTTGGTATTGAAAATTCCATTTCATCCATTTTTTGGGACTCGTAACTACTAATTTTCTACTTAAAACGTATTTAATTAATGTAAAGGATAAGAGTTTTGCTTAGACTCTAAGATATTTGCGAGGTACGCGTATTTGGTGACGTCACTAAAGAACAAGACTGCCGGAAATCATATATTGGCATGAAAAGGAACCTTTCTGTGGTTTTTCTAACAATCCAGAGCTGTTGCGGCCTAAACATCTACACATCATTCATTTGATTATGCAAAACAGGAAACGTTTTCAAACTTGACAAAATATTTAAGGTTATGTTAACATTTAGACTCTACATACTTAAAAAGACGTCTTAAACAAGAATCTTACCATATGTAAATGTTGAAATTACACGTTTTACGTATTACATATCACTATTAACATAAACGATCTGTTTATATTTAATATAATTAAGTATAATTACTACTTGTGTCAATACGGAAGTCTGTAGTTCCTTGCTGACGTCATGTACGACCGAATAAAATTGAACGGACTGACAAGTGCACCATACTGCAAATTACAACGTCTTTGAACAAACGTCAAATAACTAGTAACGGTACGACCTAGACCCAATATTTGTTTATCAAAATAGGACTAAAATTTATCAAATTTAAAAATTTGCTAAATAAAATTAGGTAACATTCAAAAGAAACGAAACATGTATAAATAAAAATAATTTCAAATAGTTTGGGACGTCATTTTGACTGAAAAAAGCTTCTTATAATAACTTTTAATTATTATTTTACTAATGTGACTAAATCAGTTTGATAAAATTAATTTGATGGTATGAACGTTAATTTTCAGTGTTCATAGTTCAAAAGTAATAAAGAATTCCTTGACATTTCCAGGTTTTCCCTGACTTATAAAAAAATCCAGGTCACTTGTAGTTCATTTTTACATACTATTTGGTGATTATGCATTAAATTTTTTTTCGATTGGACTCGGGATAAAGGTTTCAAAACCACAAATAGTTTTCTCTTTCAAGAACCCAGGGCCGGCTTTCACAAAATTTCCAGTTGCAAACATTCCCTGACTTTCATGAATATTTTTTAAATTCCCTGACTATTCCCTGTTTTTTTATGAAGAATAACAAATTCCCTGACTTTTCCCGGTATTCCCGGCCGCTATGAACCCTGATTTTGATGTAAAAAATGTATATTGGACAAATTTGATGAATTAATTATTAATAGTGCACGGACCTTAGCGAATTTGTAAGACATTTTTTTGTTTTGTGATACACCAAGGATTCCGTCTTAAGTGGGACACTCTGTATAAAGTATACCATGAGAAATTATGGTATATCCCCATGAAAAATTAATAAGGTTTGAATTTCAGCAAAAAATAAAAAATAACGCAATTTAAACCGTGTTTTGGCAGGCAAAAAAACATGTTATTGGATCAAATATGAAAAACTTTTTAAATGTAGACAATTAAGTCCCCTGTTAGAGCAAGGTATCAGGTACAAAAACAGTAATTAATGTTTACCAACCAACTGATAACGAGACATGTACTATATAGGCTACTTAACGAATCGAGATAACCCAGTAATGGGGACTTAACGATTTCTGACATTTCAAAAATTGATAGAAATCAATAGGTTGGTAATTTGTATTATGGTTATTTCTGGAATGTACAGATAACATTCTGTGTAGCTACTGTAAAGTCAAGGTTGCGTTTTTTCCAAACTTGTTTAGTTTAAATGTATACATACGCTATAAGCTTATAATAGGATGTAAAAAATCGCTTTTATATTAGATTTTAATATAGCCAATATTGATAACTAAATGTTATTTCTTTACAAAACGTAATAATTACAACAAATTAAATAAACTTTCCACCGTTTTAGAATTGCTATGTGACGACATTTCCATATTTTTTTTATAAGAAACTAAAATATTTTGTGTTGGATGGCGGTAACCACTCTCACTGTGACGAATCGCTATTTGCGTACCGATGAACTTTTAAGCTTGAATTTACAATTTTTTTTGTTTTTGTACATTCCTAAAGCGTTGAACCGTGCACCAACTGAATAGAAATCGCGAGTAACGTTTTTGCCGTCGCATTTTTCAGCCGACAATGCGAATGTCAATGCCCAATTTATTATACAGGGTGGTCCTCTCAATTACTGGATTATTAATTCAAATAACTACACCAGGCTAAGCTGCAAAACTAGATTTACTTCATTTACTTCTAACGGCACAATATTGGCCACGAACGATTATAAAAATTTAATAATAATCAAAAGTAATTCTTAAATACAAGGCTTTGTATTTGAATAATAACACAGCCACACAAAAAAAAAGTTGCCTCCTGATCCGGTATCAGAATTGAGCTATCATATCACAGGAATTTCCTAACCTCAAAAAAACAGGTCAAAAATAGCAAAAATTCACGAAAAGTGCTAGGAAAAATACAATTTTTTTTTTTTCTATATTTAAATCTTCCATTTATACGCTGAACGTAAATTTGCGGTCAGAATTGATGATTCTTTTTCTAAGCTCAAAAAAAACGGGTCAATTAAGGTCAAATACCACGAATATTAAAAAAATAATAGATTCACGCCAAATTTGTTATCCGAGGGTTTTCGGGGTCACTGATCACGAATTCGAAGTCCATTTTGCAAAATTCAAGACGGCGGATCCAAGATGGCCGACCAAATTTTTAAAAAACAACACATTCGCACCAAATTTGGTACACAGGAGTTTTTGGGGTCACTGATGACGAATCCGAGATCAGATTTACAAAATACGTTTTTAAAAATTTAATCAATTACCTTACTTTATTACCTGAGATTAGGCAGAAAAACCATGAATAGATCGTTTACAGAAAAAAAAACAAGATATAGCAGAAAAAAGAAGGTTAAAACATGATTGGGTACTCTGGTTATAAAGTAAACAAAAATACTACAAAATGAATTTCGTAATTCAGACCTCGAATTATTAATCAGAGACCCAGAAAACCCCTGTATACCAAATTTGGCGCGAACCTGTTATTTTTTAAAATTTGGTCGGCCATCTTGGATCCGCCATCTTGAATTTTTCAAAATTGACCTCAGATCCGTGATCAGCGACCCCGAAAACCCTCGTATACAAAATTTGGCGCGAATCTGTTATTTTCTGAAAATTCGTGATCTCACCCGTTTTTTTGAGGTTAGAAAAAGAACCATCAATTCTGACCGCAAATTCACGTTCGGCGGAGTCTCAACCATATAAATAAACAATTGAATATAGAAAAAAATGTTTTTTGTATTTATCGTAGCACGTTTTCGTGAATGTTTGCTATTTTTGACCTGTTTTTAAGAATAGAAAATTCCTGTGATGTGATAGCTCAATTCTGACACCAGATTCGTTATCAGGAGGCAAAAATACTACGGATAACATATGTCGCATGAAAAGTACAGACAACTTTTTTTGTGTGTGACTGTGAATCGGAGAAAATACCGAAATTAGAAATTTGTAAAATTGGCACGTCTTTCATATGAAAGCACCCTGTATAAAATAATAAATGTTCTACAAATTTGTTGGCTAACATTTCCTGTGCACACTGTCAAAATATTTTGCACTTGAAAATTATGAATATTATCCACTACCTCGTATTTGAAAATAATTTTAAAAAATCTTCTTTATATTAAGAGCGCCATCGTACTTTGTGGCATTAATGGACCACCCTGTATATTAGGAATATCCACGCATCGCTTTAATGAGTAATCATTATCTTTGACTTTGGCCTTGAACGAGCTCAATTTCACCGAGCACGTTTATTAAAGCTTTCATGCTGCCAAAACACGGCTTTTCAATTTACACCACATTAAAACACATTGATTATTTATAACAACCGAAATTTACGGTTTTTTCAATCAACATACTGGGGCGAACATTTATCTGCATCGGGAGACAAAAGATCAGCAAACAAACACAGAGTTAAAAAAAAACACAAATCATCGAAGCTACTAAAACCTCTTGCTGCAAATAAACAAAAGAGTGCTCGCCCAAAGCAGAAATAATTGACGAAAAACAATAATCACGAATAACAGCCGAGTGGTCCGTGACTGGAGAAACAGTAACAGCAACATAAAAAAATGTAGGATTTAAACAGTAAAATGTTTTGAAATTCAGAGACGTAAACTTTCTCCAATCACAATGCCGCTCAGCTAATGCCAGGTACAAATGTAATGATAAACCGTAAGATTTAAATGTGCAATTAAATGTTGCTATGGGTTATCCCATTCAAACGATTTTCAATTCACACGTCTGATAAATCTGCACAGTTTGATTGTGCAGATAATCCTAGTCACTTAACTGTGTGATTAAATATATCTATCATTTATTCCATCCACACGACGGACACATATGTACAGTTTGTAGATAAATCAGTACGATTTACCAATGGTAGTAGCTGAAATAATTTCAGCTATACATACACGTAAAGATAAATAGTAGCGATTTAACTGTGCCGGTAAATATCACTCCGATTTATTCCATTCACACAGATAAATACCAGTGCAAACTATTTTCAATTCACACTTCTGATAAATGTGCACAGTTTGACTGTGATTGCAGCGATTTAACTGTGCGATTAAATATATCTATCATTTATTCCATCCAGTACGGATACATCCGTACAGTTTGCAGATAAATCAGTACGATTTAACAATGGTGTGCAGCTGAAATAATGTCAACTATACATACACGTATAGATAAACAGTAGCGATTTAACTGTGCCGATAAATATCACTTCGATTTTTCAATCCACACAGATAAATACCAGTGCAAACTAAAACCATCCAGACAGCAGATAAATAGTTTATATGACAGCGATTAAACTGTGCAATTAAATATTGCTAAGTATTCCTATCAGAAGGCATAGAAATCTACGCAAACCAAACGATTTTCAATCCACATCTGCACAGTTTAATCTATAGAGAAATCAGCGATTTAGTTGTTCAGTTAAATATATCATTGATTTATTCCATCTGCACACTTTGATTTGATCACATAAATTGATACTATTGATGTCTAAGTTGGCATAATGCCAGCATTTAAACATGTAACGATAAGTCGTAGCGATAAAACTGTGCAGTTAAATATTAGCTCTGATTTATTCCAGCATAAATATTTTTGCAAACCAAAAAAATTTCCATCCACATTCAGATAAACCAGCACAGCCTTATCTGTGCAGATAAATCAGAGTGATTAAACTGTACACTTAAATGTCGTTACGATTTATTTCATCCACACAGCATGCATATTCATACAAACCAAACTGTTTTCCAATGACACGTCAGATAGATTTCCAGTTTTATCTGTGCAGATAAACCACAGAGATTAAACTGTGCAGTTAAATATCACTACGATTTATTTCATCCACACGACACAAATATTTGTGCAAACAAATAAGTTATATTTATCATTACGCATGTAACTGACACGACACTCACCTATCGTGGGTTGGTACTCCTGCTGCGGCAACAGGAAACAAGTGAGGACCGTCTTCCCCGTATCCGGATCCGTGTCGGTCTGGAACGTCAGCAAAGGCTGGGCCTGGTTGTCGCTCAGCCACACCGCCTTCAGGTTCAGCTGCAGCAGAGTGTAAGGCAGAAACGGAAGCCGGTTCCCGGAGACGTCGAGGACGTGCAGCCTCCTGCAGTTGCCCAACGTGTCCGGCAACATGGTCAGTCTATTGTCTCGTAAACTGAGCACCCCCAACTCGCACAGGTTGCCCAGCTCCTCGGGGATGGAAGTCAGACTGTTCCGGTCCACGTTGAGATTGGTGAGCTTCACCAGCTTGCCCACCTCGACGGGCAGCTCGCTGAGGAAGTTCTCGGTGAGGATGAGCTCCTGCAGGTTGTGGCAGTGGCCTATGTTGGAATTCAGGGAGGTGAGCCTGTTTTGGTCCACTTTGAGGATGGTCAGTTTGTCTAGTTTTCCTATGCCGTCGGGCAGCGTCTCCAGCACGTTCTGGGAGAGGTGGAGGTCGGTGAGGCTCTCCAGGCCGGCTATCTCCTCGGGGAGATATTCCAGCCTGTTCTCGGACAAGTCTAGACATGTCAGGTTGCTCAGCTGGCCTATCTCGGGGGGGAGACTCTGCAGTTGGTTGTGGTCCAACCAGAGTTCCTGGAGGGCGGGTAATTTTCCTATGTGAGGGGGCTGAAACAAAAACCACGTACAAAACTGTGTATCCCAACGGGTTCGGTCATTACCATCTAGATTATAAAACCTCGACCTTGTGTAGCATTGTCTCTGCCTGTTCATGGTAATGATAAACGTAGAATATTGTCTGAATTGCCATTTCCTATGCAGTTTTCACTTAATGTTGAAAAATATTTAAAAATTAGATAACCACTGCTAATGACGTCACTAGGCGCCGACGCGTCAGACGTGAGGCTTTATATTACAGGCGGTAATAGCTTTGTTCCCAGTGCATTCCAAAACAACAGACGCATGCAGGTTGAAAATTCAATGTTTCGAATGCCCTAGGTCTAGGAACAAAGTTAATGGTATAGATATAATTACCAGTTCCTCTATCTCGTTGTCGCCCAGGTCGAGCCTCTCCAGGTTGCTGAGCTGGGCCAGGGAGGGCGGCAGCTCCTTGAGCAGGTTCTCCCGCAGCTCGAGCGACGTGAGCGAGGTGAGCATGCCGAAGTCGGCCGGCAGCGACGTGAGCGACATGTCGTTGAGTCCCAGGATGGTGAGCGACTTGAGCTGGCTGAAGGCGGGCGGCAGCCTGGGGATGGGGTTCGAGCTGAAGTCGGCCACGCGCAGGGCGCGCAACTGCCCGATACTCTCGGGAATGTCCGGGATATCTGGAACAAATAAAAAAAATTATTAGTACGGTATATGCAATTGTAAATCAAAGTACGTTTTCTATTTTTTATTATTCGTTCCATTGTTTATAATAATTAGAGACGCGACTGGCAAATATCTAATAGAAAACTTGTAATAGGGTCATAGCGGCGAAGCTTTTCCGTGGGCACCACTGAAGATCTCAACAGTGAAAAACAGCGTGAAGCATTGAACCGAAATGAACATCAGGGAAGGCCAAAGGTTCTAATAGCGGTTTGTCCCACACAGAGCCTAGCCCTAACGAAGTGCAACGTTAAGTTTGTAATTGGCGGCGACAAAGTATATAGGATATACAGCATAACAACCCGCAAAACCATCGTCCTCTAAATATTTGTGTAAAGACTTTTACTTTTCTGTTACGTTTAATGACGTTTTTATTAGTTGCTTTAGAAACATAAAATTTTAATTACAAGAGCTCATTAGTTCGGTGTGTAAATAAGGCGGGGAAAGTGGGGGGATGACCTGTATCACTGCCAGATGGTACCGTGACTGGTTTGGTTTAGTATTTCAGGCATTGATACGAGCCAATTCTATGATTATCGATTTAATAAATCTATAAATACTATAAAAGTATTTCTCACTTACACTGTGATAGTACAGTAACAAAATGTAGTGGTTGTGAAACAATTTTGGTGAGATGAAGATGCTTTATAAGACATAGGTATTGAAAATCAAATGTACACGGCTGGTAAATCCACATAATCCATCTGCCTTGACTTGAGAGTGACAAAGTAAGTCATAGTAATCCGTACGATAGACAAGGATGGCTATATTGAAGACGTTTCATAATCTGAATAGTCAACAGGCGGTCACTATTCAGATTATGAAACGTTTTCAATATAACTATCCTTGTCTATCGTACGGATTTGTATGACTTACTTTGTCACTCTCACGTAAAGGCAGATGGACTATGTAGATTTTCCAGCCGTGTATAAAAGATATCGACTGCTACAGCTGCCCCACTGGGTATTTTTAATACATCATCTAATTTTTTAATTCAGTGTGTATTGTATTCTATTCAATATAGGTATGTGATAATAAACAATTTCGATTATTTTAGCAGAGATATGTCCTAAATGGCTATTCCCATTGCCAAGTGCTAATGTAATGGCTAACAGCAGCGGCTAATCCAGTAAGTCTACGGCACAAATTTCTTACTCTATTATGTAATACTTGTTAAATACTTGAAAATTTTTAGAAAAATATTTTTTTAATGGGAAACGGACTATATTCACGAACGCGGAAGATGATTTATTGCCAGTCTAAAATTTCCATCTAAGTTTCCTGTGCCATTCATTTAACAGTTGCCAAATCTAGGGGGGAGGGGGGTTTCGAGTGCATTTGTTTTGCTTGCCGCTTCCCGACGACATAAAAAAAAAACAGAGTAGGTTGATACGGATTCGGCAGGCGTGTGTCGTTCACCCTCGAAGCCTTGGCATTGCATCCGACACAAGGACGCCGCAGGACATAGGTGTCGTTTATGCGATTCCAACGGGGTTATTTAATCGGTAGGTATATAGTTTTTAGGTAGTTTCAACGATAAACAAACCAAGAACATTAAAAAAATACTATTTTATGCTATTTAATATTTGATGTAACAGCGCCGGCCGATAAAAGTATACTTATTTTATACAGAGTGTCCGGAAACTCTGAGCAAATTCTTCGGGGCTGATACTTCTGGAAAAATGAATGACAAGTTCGTTTATCGTTTTTTTTTCGAAAATTTGATATTAACGGAGATACATAACCTCAAAAATTTTAATTTTTTACTTATAATTTTTTTAATACTAATTTGGTCACTTATTCCTTTTCTAAGAGTGCAGTTTTAAATATAGTATCAAAATTGGATAGTTATAAAGGGTACAAAAGACACTTGGCAAAAAAATGATAGCATTTTTTATTTTCAATTCGTTTAAAAAGATGAAAACCTGGAAAAACTAAAACAACGGTGCTATTGTTTGAATTCGAGAAAGCTAACTAATTTCATGAAGAGTGGGATTTAAAATTTTTGGATGTACCAGTGATTCTTACTTATTTTATGACACAGAATCTTCATAAATGAATGCAAGCCACATGACCAGTAATTTTGTTTGGGACGTTATTTTATTTCCTCCAAGTTGGTAAATGAATTTGGACAATATTAAAAATTTTTAAAACAATAAGATTACATTAAAACGCAACAATCGGTTTCACCTGCATTATACAGGTCATTTCTGAAATATGTGCATTCCTTGAAAAGGGTGATAAAAGTCACGAAAATTAGCAATTTTTTATTAAGCAACCGATGATCTAAATGCTTTTATTTTCGAGAAAATTATTTTAGAAAATTAACCATAAACGTAAGCCGATCCTGTGCACCTTGTGCACGTGCGTCGTGTGCTGCAGTATTAGCCGGAGTATAAAAGCTTTTCTGATCAAGAACAAGCAGATATGGTGTTATGTACGGAGAATGTCAGTACAATTTAAATGAGACTTGTCATTTTGAGTATTTGATCGTTTATTAGCACACGGCAACGTAGATCGTTTAAAATTTGTGTTACTTTTACACGAGATTTGAATAAATTTCAACATTTTCGAAAACAAAATTTAAACCGTCAAGACCGTCATCAGCGTTTTCGCACTGCGGCGCGCGGCAGCATCGATATCAAAGGTACAACTGGCTGCCGCACCAGGATTTTTTTTTTTTCAATTTAAAACGTAATGTTTTAAACTATCGCATCAGTTGCTTAATAAATGTTGCTTATTTTCATGCCCTCCATCTCCCTTTTCAGGAACACTATGTATATCTGCAAAATAATTTTTTATTTATAAGATTACAAAAGGGAAAAACTTAAGGCAGCTTCTTTTTCATAAAAAAAAGGATTATTATATTATGATCCATCTATTTTTCATGTTTTGACAGTAATTTACTGTATATTTGTAATTCTGTATTTTGGCTAAAGAATAAAACTTCAATAATTTCTGTTACTATAGCAGCACCAACGCCATCTAACCGTTACTAGATCAATGGTACTGATGTAAAAAGGAATCCGCGAAAAGCATTTTAAAGTCTATTCAAAACAAACAAAAATATACAATTGGCCCCTCAACTCCCTTTGACAAAAAATATAAGTACGCCCATAGTTGATCTGTATCTATCTTTCCTAGTTTTTTTTTCTCACAATTGCCGCTACTATTTATCCAACTAAGTAATTACCGAGCAATTAATTTTTTGTCTGTCTAAACAATGTGCGGTTAAAGTTCTATATTTATTTTTGGAACGTCCCATACGTTTGCACCGAAAAGTAAAGGTAACGAATGAGTTGCCCGACCGCCAAGTGAATGTGATCCGAATGGGTCCCCGAGTACAATGCCCCGCCGGTGATGTCATTAGAGGCACGCTAGAACGCCGGATCATCTTCGCTTTTTTTCTCATCTCTCATCTCGCGCTATCTAGCGCGCGCGGCGCATCGAAAGGTCGAACGCTAGAATTCGTGCCACGAGAGACCTTTTTTTAACAAACTACGAACGTTTCGGAGGTAGAATTGCGCGATTAAGACTAGAAATCGAGTGTTGGGATTGCCCATATTCCACTTTACAAGTAACAGAAAATAGATCCCAATTTTATTCTTGTATCTTTCAAAATAAACGATTATTCGCAAAATGAAGATCTGAATTTAATTATTATTAAAAACTTCCTCCATGAGTATATTCTTAAATCAAATTGAAGGATTAGAAGTATATGAATTCTCAATACAGTGTTCTATAGTCTGTTTAGAAATGAAAGAGAGTAATAAAAGCTTATTGTGTATGCACATCGTAAATAAATGTAGTACTGGCGCTTATATTCAATATTTTTATATTATGTAGTTTCGGTATAGATGAGGTGTACTTTTAAAAAAACTTTGTGCGATCGGACTGTACTAAATTGTAGCGGGTAGCTAAAATTTAATCCCCGACAATCCGTCTTTGTCTATGCCGCTTCAATTTCTCGGTCCATTTCTCTTATAAGTAAACAATATAAAAACAGCATTTCAAAACATGAGGCTACTTTAAGCATCATAACCGGGTTAAGAGGGTTTTTAGTAATTCAAATAAAATTATTCAATATTATTATCAAAATATTTATTTAAATTTAATGAATAGACTTTTATTCCACACAAAAATATATGTATTTTGAAAATTCAAATTATGGTGAGTAAATGTAGTGTTGTATAAATGTACAATAAAGAAAATAAAAAAGTAGGTATATTAAAATTCATCCTCTGAATATTCTGATGAATTATCTTCGTCTCCTAGATTGATAACGATAGGTTCCACAGTAACGTCAATTAAATTATCGAGTTCCCACATTTTCTCCTCTTCTTTTTGTACATGATGTATACATCTTTGCCAGTTATCTGCAGTTACTCGTTCCAAGGAATTTTTTAACAAAATTTTCACGTCACTTAATTTAAACGTCGTATTATTTCGCGCTACATCTCCTTTTACCTGCGCCCAGACTAATTCGATTGGGTTAAGTTCACAGTGATAAGGTGGTAACCGTAGTACCGTTATTTGGCGATTTGTTGCCATTTCATCGATAACATATTTTTTCTGATCTTTATTAAGATTGACAAGTGTCAAAAGTTCCTTTTTCACCATATTTGTTTCAAAAGAAATGTTTTTTCCGGATAACCATTGAATTATATCGGCTTTCCTCCAAGCAGTCGTAGGCGTCCGCTCGGTCTGCCGTGAATGGTAACTGGCATTATCCATGACAATTACAGACCCCGGAGGAATAAGATCCAACATCTGTGTAAAATACTCTTCGAAAACATCTGCGTTCATGTCTTCGTGATAGTCACCTGTATTTTTAGATTCAAATAAAAGTAAACCGCCATCTACAAAACCACTGGCACTACCTATATGTGTCACTATTAATCTTCGCCCTTTACCTGAAGGTGCCTTGAACCCTGTTGAAAGTCCATCCAAAAATGCT